AATAGCTGGAGCCTTTGCAGGCATGGATGGAGTCAGGAGGTGGAATGTTGTGCGTGAGAACAGTAAGGAAGCCATTGTGGCTAAATTGTAAATATATGTAGAGTAGCAATATTTAATAAGTTATGAAGAACTTTTAAATGTTGTTCAAAAGAGTGTGTATCTGATCCTAGAAGTAATAGGGAGTCACTAGAGTATATTGAGTAGGAGGGTGACAATGTTTTACTTGTACTTTAGGAAAATCATTTTTGTGGCTGTCTGAAGGATGAATTGGAGTAGGGAGAAGCTTGATGCAGTAAATCAAATAGGACCAAATAGAAGCTATTTTAGCAGTTTAATCAAGAGGTGATGAGGCCTGAACTAGGGTAGTAGCTGTGAGTGTAGGGAAAAAGAGGGCAAGAGATGTCTTACACATAAAAGATTTGGCAGTGAATTAGGAGTCAGTTACTCCTTCATCTCTGTCCCTTCAAATCCTTATGCTTTTTTAAGGCTCAACTCAAGTGATATCCTGGGACAGTGAGGTGGTGCAGTGGATAGAGCAGCTGGTACTGAATTGCAGGAGGGCTCATCTTCCTGACTTTGGATTTGGCCTCAGACATTTACTAGCTGTATGACCCTGAGCAAGTCACTTAACCCTATCCACCTCAGTTTCCTCATCTGTAAAGTGAACTGGAGAAGGAAATGGCAAGCAACTCTAGTATCTTTGCCAAGAAAACCCAGAGTCAAACATGATTGAAAACGCCTCAATAGCAAGTGCCATTTCTTCCACAGAGCCTTTAACTGTTCTCTAGTTGTTAATGCTGTCTCCTTCCTCAAATTACCTTGTGTTTTTTTGTCTCTCTTTGTCTTATGTTTGCCAGTGGGAAGGAAGAAAATAAGCATTTATTATATGCCTACTGTGTGCCAGGCACTGTGCTAAGTGCTTTATAAATATTATCTCATTTAATCCTCACAATAACCTTGAAGGTAGGTACTGTTATTATCCCTGTTTAACATATGAGGAAACTAAGGCAAATTGAGGTTAAGTGACTTGCTAGGGGTCACACAGCTAGTGTCTAAAGCCTGATTTGAATTGAGATCTTCATAACTCCAGGCCCAGTTTCCAGTATGCTACCTTAGTAGGTTACAATGCCTATAAATGTTTAGCATTTAGAGACTGTTACACTTTGATCTTTTTCTTTCCAGTTAATTGCACATAGTGGGAGCTTAATTAATAGTTGTTGAATGAATGATCCTCTCTTATCCTATCAATTAATTTCTCCAGTTTTGGCAGAGACTACAAGCAATCATTAATAACAGCTGAAAAGCCCTCAAGTGGGTCCCTTCTGTATAGTCTTGTGGTAGGAATAGGTATCTACTGAGAGGACAGTTCATTGAGTTAGTTCATTAATAAATATATTTTAGACAGTTACAACAAATAAACTGTAGAGACAGTTGAAAAGAAGGAAAAGAGAAATTGGATTCAATTTGGCAAAATGCGTAGCATTGTCAGTGGTTCCAAGATGTTCCCAGGCTCAAAAACCTATATATTTTTTTTAAAAAATTAATATTTTGCTGATTATGATATTTAGCAAGAAGTCATGGAACGTCACAGTGTTGGAAGAATCAAAATGTACTTGACTCAGTCAGCAATGGAGAGACTCATGTATAAGTTGGCTGTAACATGTTCCTAAGGATTACTTATATGCAGGAAATTACACTAGGAAAATAAATGCATTTTAAAGGGGAAAATGTTGGATATACCAGAAATTAAACATGTTGCCCGTTTATGGGAGCTTGGTTTGGTGCAATGCAGGGTACTTATGAATGGTGTACTTGTGGAGAAGCAAAAGATGCATTTTCTAAATGAGGTGATTTTTGGCATTATGATTTTCAGAGTTTCTGTTTGGGAAATGGGAACAGACAAGAAAATCCTAAATCCTAGTTGTAACTTTTAGCTACTCACCAGCACTTCTGTAGGCCAAAATTTCCTACTTTACAAAATGAAAGGTTTGGATAATATCATCTCCAACATTCTATAATTCAGATTACAAGTGAGGCGAAAATAAAATGAAGCAAATACAGAAGTGCATCTAAACAAATTTGAGAGAAAGTAAATACGTGAGAAAGTTGAAGCCTTCCTTTCTTGATCTTGAGGCTGCGACCAAGTGTTTGAGAGGTGGGACCATATTCACAGAGGCCCTCAAATGTTAGAATTAAGTTTTTGGAATTAATCCTCTTAGCACTGGGGACTGATTGTGGACTTTTAATTTAAGGGAACATTAATAGACTGACATTGTTTAAAGGGAAATTTTCATTTAGTCTTCGACAGAAATTATTTGTATCTTCCCTCTTCAATAATAAGACCACTAGATTAAGGATAGGCTGTCTACAAACCTTTATAGCTTTATGCTCATTTTGAGGTTTGAGTACCTGTCTAATATTATGGTATTATATGTCATTTAACATTTTACGGTCTTGGGCATTTAATTGTATACTGTGGCTAGTGGACTGCTAGACTGAGTTTACCTTTATATGTGGTGAACTTTGTAATTTTAGTTGTAGAATCAATAAAATGTTCATGATAAAACTATTTGGCCCTGTTACCTGTTATATCTCCTACCTGTGAAATAGCTTTGTCAGGTAATGAGAAGAAATGCCTCTGAGGCTCAGAGGCAAAAACCCATTTTGGCACAGTCACTTTTTTCACAAGTGGCAAGGAGTCACCTTAGTTTCAATTAAGAAAGAAATTTCAGTTCAATTTATTGAGTGCCTCTATTGCAATAGTCATTTATATGCTGCTCTTGGGTATCTTAGGCATGTGCAGTTAGATTAACCATGTCTCTAGTTTCTCCTTTACTTCTACATACTGTCAGTTTTTTGGCCCTTCTATTCATTATTACTACATTTTTTAGAGGACAGCTGGGAATAATAGTGAACGGGCGTAACTCAATTAATTCAGTTTTGATGCCTGTTAGCTGCTTTTTCAAAGGCTCTTAGGGGAAGACATTGAAACCACAATTCTCAAAAATGATATTATAGTCTATCTGTAGCTTTTATTTACCCTTATTGTCACTTCTTTTACCCTAAAAAAAAATTGAAATGATTTCTAGACATTTCCAGTAATGGATCACTTGAGTATTAATTATTACCACCCACTGCTTAGCACAGTGCTTTGCACAGATTAGACACTTAAAAATGTTTATTGAATTAAATTATGTGTCAAGGTCTTCCTTATTCAAATGCTAATGCATACATGTTGAGATCTATAAGTCATTTTATCTATAGCTAGAATATTGAAACACAGACCAAAGATATGTGCAGATGTAACTGGTTAACTGAGAGGAACAATTATAGATGACCACTCGCTGTCAGGTGCAGCTCTGCAGAACAAAACTGCTTGCAGCCAGTACCAAATGGCTCTGGTTCCTGGCAGCACAATAGACTTCCAGGATGCTCAATTTAACAGGGACTAAGGCTAGTCTTCCACTGGCCTTTTAACTGTATCTATATACATATACCCTAATTCACCATTAAGTAAGATTATCTTCGGAAGTAACTGGAAGTTGGAGAGGGAGGTTTCCATTTAAAGGAGGAAAAAAAAATCCATTTCAGAAATAGAACTTTCCCAAAGTAACATTGGCCACCTCAGGAGTAATGAAGTCCTTAAATAGCAGAAGATCAGGGCCTTAACTGAAAGGATTACCGTTCAGGTACTCATTGGACTAGGTAATCTCTGAGGTCTTGATAACTCCAAAATTCTGTGTTTTGGCATCTGTTGACACACATATTTGTTTCACATATATATCGGCATTTGCATTTTTTAACAATACAAATGGAAATCTGTAATTATTCCTGGAACTAAGAATCATCCTTTTCCTTGAAGGAAGGACTTTATTGTTAGAGAGTATCTAGAGTGCTAGACCTCGACTCAGGGATCCTTAAACCACCTCTGACATTTCCTAGCAGTGTAACCACTGCAAAGTCATTTAACTTCTCTGAGGCGTAGTTTGTTCATTTGTCAAAAGAAAGGGGCCAGGTTAGATAGCTTCTAAAAACACTCTCAGCTCTTAACACTGTGATCCTATGATTTGAAAGGAACTGGAATATATTTTCTTCTGGTTATTTTTAAAATATTAAATAAGTCATAATAATAATTGACATGTAGCCCTGTAGTATTTGCAGAGCACTCTACATTCCTTGTGTCATTTCATCTACACAAAAATATTGTATGTAGTACATATGTTATTATCACCATTTTATAGATAAGGAAACTGAGAAAGGCTGAATGACATATCATAGGATCCTGGATTTAGAGTTGGAAGGCACTTCAGACCGTGGAGTTCAACCCCTTCATTTTACAGATGAGGAAATAGATTTTAAATGATATGCCCAGGGTCACTCAGCTATTAAGTGACTGAGGTAGCATTTCAGTCCACATCTTTCTGATGCCTAATCTGGTGCCCTGGAAGCCATGTAGCACACTGCTGGGTATCGAGTTGGGAAGACCTGAGTTCAAATTGGCTTCTGACACTCACTAGCTGTGAAATCCTGTGTAAGTCACTCGACTTCTGTCTGCCTCAGTTTCTTCAACTGCAAAATGAAGATAGTAATGGCACTTACCTCCCAGGATTGTTGTGAGGATTAAATGAGATATTTGTAAAGTTCTTAATACAGTGCCTGATCAGAGTAGGTACTTAATAAATGCTTATTCCTTTCTCCGTATTGTCTGTCATTTGCCCAGAGCCATACAAATAGTGTCTGAGGTGAGATTTTGAACTCATCTCTTCCTGATTTCAAGTATAGAACTTTATCCATTACACTACGGTCATATGCCATTTAGTAGTCTGTTTCTGGGCTTTTCATGAATAAGTTTTGCAAAACAGAAGCTGCTGTTTTAACTATTTCATTAGACTGGGACTAAATTTTGGTGAATGTGCATATTTTTCTTGGCTTGCCTAGAAGTGTTTTGCTTAGATATGAAAACTTTAATTTTTCTCTCTTTATCATTGTTTGGATTTTAGAAAATGAAGAAGTCAAGGAAACAACTTTACGAGAGCTTAAAATGCTTCGAACTCTAAAACAGGAAAATATAGTGGAGTTGAAGGAAGCTTTCCGAAGAAGAGGGAAATTATACTTGGTGTTTGAATATGTGGAAAAAGTAAGTAACATTCTGGAGCCAGGATCTTCTATTTAGAATGAATTTTAAAATTATTGAAGAAGCTATGCTGTCTATTGTGACCTATCAATTATCGTTATATACATTTGGTTAAAATGAAGACATTGTTATCCATAATACAGACATAAGTACTATGAAAAATTATTGAAACATGCATAAATATTTTTATGAAATTGACATTTTAATGAAATTTCATGTGATGTTTTTTAGAGTTTAAATGTTATTACTAATTTAGATTTCTAGCCCGTAGCATCTGGCAAATGTATTGTCATTCTATTTTGTACCATATTTATTTTGAAATAAGCCTACAGTAAACCTCTGAAGATATATGTGAAGGGATGTACCTTAAGTAATTTATCCTTATCCTAATCCTGTATTTAAAGCTTAATAAATTAGTATTAAGCAATATTACACATAGTAAGAATTTTAACCAGATATGTTTAAGTTTACTACCTGCAAATTTTTTCATTTTAATATTTTTAAACATTAAATTTAACAGGTACTTATTAAATGTCTGCTTTTTCTCTGGCATTATATCATATTCTGTCCTGGAGATAGAACCATAGTTTTAGTTGGTAGAAGAGACCTTCATAGTTCACATTTTTTCAACTAGGTAAGGCATTTTCCAATTTTACAGATGAGTCAGTGAAAATAGAGAATTTAAGCAATTTTCCTAAGTTCACATATCTAGTAAGTAGCAAAAGGAAAACTTGAATCTAGAATCCAGATCTCCTACCTCCTAGTAGTGTCTTTTCAACTACATCATGCTGTATTGGAAGCAAGACATTGTGTCTAACTTTGAGGAGATTGCAGGCTCATTGCAAATGTAAGTGAGACATGTGAACCCATTACAGAAGGAGAGAGACTGAAATAGGGGTTGGATCTGTGATTTCATTGGTATAGAGAACCCCGAATGAGGGAACTGTACCAATATAGAACAAGAGAATATTATAAATGATTACTTGTCCAAATGTGTTGGTGTAGACAGTGATTTTTATGGATGTACAGTATATTCGGAGAAATCATTAGGGATTAATAGAGTTAGAAAAGGCGTAGTAGAGGGAAATAGGATTCCTTAAGATAGGATTCTAATGGATCAAGTTCAAACCTTTAACACAGGCCCTCCAAAACGTAGTCTCACACACTTGATTTCAGCAAAAGTCTTGAGAGATGGCTCTGCCTTTCACTTGTGCTCACTTTATCCCAAACCTCCCATGAATGCTTGTGTTATACTCCTTCCCCTTTTGTAGAATGAATGAAATGGATGCCCAAATAAGTCAGATCAATTAGTGCACAAATCTGGGACTTGGAATTAGGGAAGTTCTTTCCCTTTATGTCTTCTGTCTAAATTTTGTCCCATAGACCTCTTAAAGTAGTAATAGGTGACCTCTCAGGTTGTCTTCTAGCTTCTGTGATTGTCTGGATGGAAATGAAGCACTAACCACTTTGCAACATTAACTTGTCAAAGATTTGTTTGGTCTTGTTTGTTAGCAAAATCAACAGAGTAGTAATTTTGGTCACCCTTTGAGGTACTGTCTCTATACTTTATACTAATGGAAAGCAACTAAGACCCTGCCCTTAATTTATGATTATAGATCCCTAAAATTAAGTGTCTGATTTTACTGTCTGTTTAGAAAGCATTATTTGTTTTAGAAAATTTCAGAATTCATTTTTCAACAGTGAATAAGTCATCTCTTTCTCTACCATCTAGAGAAGCATATTAGGTTAGTATCTGGTAATGTAAAGTGCTATTCCCAAATCACTAGTGTTCCCCTATGTAAAGACAAGGGCTCTGTTGGTTTAGTAGGACTTTTCATTTGAAGTATTGTGCTTTGATTGTGTTTCAAAGAAATATCTCACCTGAAACTAAAAACAGGCAAAATCTTTTTAACTGAGTAATTGTTGTGCCTGTGGCCTTTGCTGTGATTATGACGAGACAAACTTGTAAATAAGGCAAGCTATGTTCTTTTTTCTCTTCTGTTACCACGGTGTTGCTCCAAGTACAAGCTTTCTACCTTTTAGGGGGAGGTCTTTGAGAAGTTCTGGCATTGTGGAAGCTAATTCATATAGAGTTCCAAGTCCTTACTATGTTATCTGTCAATTTTTCATAGCCATTGCATGTCTACTAGGGTTCCTCCCCTCCTCCCACTAGGCACTCCTGTGTTCTCTCTCCCCCTCTCTCCTATTATCCCTTACATTAACATTCTTAGATAGACATTACATCATTTTCAAGATGAGGAAAAAAAAGGTAAAATTCTTATTTCACTACCCTTCTCAATAACATAACAGTCTTTCAAAATTTATGGGGAGAGGGAGAATACATGAGAAATTCCACTATTCTGAAGCTCTGGTACATCTCTGTTACCTCCAGGATCAAATATAAGATCCCTTTTTTGGCTTACAGGCCCTTTTTGACCTGAACCCGTCCTGCCTTTCTGCCTTCTGACACCTTCCATGTACTTTGTGATCTAGTGATGCTGGCCTCCTCTCTCTTCCTTGCACACAGCATTCTGTCTCTCTCCTTCATACATTTTCTTCAGCTGTCCCCCATGGATGGAACATCCCCCATCCTTGTCTCCACCTCCCAACTTTCCTGGCTTCCTTTGAGTATCAGTTCATGTCCTATCTTCTTCAAGAAAGTTTTCCTGTCTTCCTTAATCTTAGTGTCTTCTCTCTGAGATTGCCTTTAATTTATCTTGTATCTGTCTCTTATGTGTACATAGTTGTTTGCATATTTTCTCTCCTATTAGATTGTCAGTTGCCTGAGAACAAGCACTGGTTTTTTACCTTTCTTTGCATCCCTAGTATGTGACACTGGCTCAGTGTAGTTGTTTAATATATACTTATTGACTTGACTGGATTTCACACTTGCTATAATAATGGAAGTAGTTTTGTTAAGGTACAGTCAATGGTATTTCAGGCACTACAGCTAAACTAAAATCTGTTACTTGATGAATCTGTTTATTTGCAGCGGTGAGAGGGTAGTCCCTTGATTTTCAGAATAACTGATATATTATTTTAGCAATGTTACCATAAACCTGGTATACTCCTATTTACTCACTCCCAGAACATTTTTTGATAATTCCCCCTTAGGTTTTCTCATTGCTACCACCCTCACCCTTTATGGAATATTGCATTAGCCATCTTCGTAGTTTTCCTCACTTTTAAAGCTCTCTATGCAGCATCATCATAATAGCATTGATTTAGAGGTTGAAGTGACCTTGGAGAGACAATCAGCTGTGTGTTCCTTAGCTATCTGAAGCTCAGCATGACCAAAACCAGACTCATTATCTTTGCCCTCAAACCCTACCTTATTCCTGGTTGCCCAGTTTCTATTTATGGCACCACTGCTCTCTTAGTAAGCCTTAATCACTGAATAGGCTTTGCCTCAGTCAAACTGAAACCTATTAAAGATTGAAAAGGCCAAGGATCCCCACTGCATCATGGGCCATCTCCAGTTGTCCTGATCTCTGTCTGGCCACTGGACCCAGATGGCTCCGGAGATGAAAGTGAGGCTGGTGACCTGCACAGCCCTGCCTCACTTAAATCCAGTTCACTTTAATGTCATGGCATCACCTTTCTGATGTCATGGTCCTCTTTGATAATGGACAAATAGTAGTAGCAACTCTCATTAGAAACCTCAGTCATCTTGAACTTTTCCCTCCCACTCACCCCACATATATCCAGCCAGTTGTCTAAATCTAGAATCTTATTGATTCTACCATGCCAATATCTTTCCCATCCATCGCCTTCCCTGCATTCACACAGCTGCTATCCTAGGTCAAGGCCTTATCACATCTTGTTTCAGTTAGTGCAGTATATCTTAATTGGCCTTTCTGCTTCAGTCTCTACTTTCTTATTCATCCTCAGCTCAGGCACCAAATTTGTCCAGTGTCTTATACATGTTGTTATTGTTCAGTTGTTTTAGTGGTGTCAACTCTTTATGACCACATTTGAGGTTTTCTTGGCAAATATACTGGAATGTTTTGCCATTTCCTGCTCATTTTACAGATGAGGAAACCGAGACAAACAGGATTAAGTGACTTGCCCAGCGTCACATAGCTAATAAATGTCTGAGGCTAGATTTAAACTTAGGTCTTCCTGAGTCCAGGCCGGGCACCTCTGTCCACTGTACCATGTTGCCGCCCATCTTGTACATATTAGTCACTTAATGCTTGTTAGTCAAGTGATTATCACTAACATGCTCAAGGAACTCCAATGACTTCTTTTGCTTTTAGAAAAAAATAAAAAATTCCTTCCTAATTACCCCCACTTAGAAGTCCCAGCTTCTTTCAAAACTTTGCTCACTTACCATCTCCTATAAGAATCCTTTCCTGATCCTGTCTTCCTCCCAAAACCCCCACAAAAATTTTTATATAGTTTCTGTATTTAATTTTCTATGTAAATTCACTTTCTTCCAATTTCCCCATAATATTTAAACTCTGTGAGGGCAGGATTACTTTATTTTTTTTTTTTTTTGTATTTCCAGTGCTTGGCACAGACCTGGTACCTAATAAATAATTATTGAGTTGAACTGAATTCATCAAACCCTCTTCCAAGCCATTCTGTGCTTTACTATTATTATCTGATTAATCTTCCTAAAATACTGTATTTATCACATTTCCTATTTCTTTTTTTTAATATTTATTTGTTTAGTTAGTTTTAGTTTTCAACATTCACTTTTATAAAATTTTATAAGATTTTGAGTTTTACATTTTCTCCCCTTCCTCCTCCCCCTCCCCAAGACAGTGTACAATCTGATACAGGCTATTACGTGTACAATCATATTAAACATGTGTTGTTTAATTTAATCATATTAAATTTAATTTAATCATGTTAAACATGATGTTGTGAAGAAGAATTAGAACAAAAGGAAAAACCATGAGAAAGAAAAAATACAAAGGAAAAAAAGAGAGAGAGAGAAAATAGTACGATTTGATCTGCATTCAGACTCCATAGTTCTTTCTCTGAATCTGGATAGC